TACTACTGCTACTATAGATACTACTTATGGCTTACTCAAGCATTTTTGTTACTTTGTAAGAAGCACAGTAAAAGTCCAGCAATATGAAACGACCTACGATTTGAGGTAAAATACTAATTATTATGACGTTGTCTTCAAAACTTATGTCATTATGTAGCCAAGACATCCAAATAAGCTAGATGAAAAACTGTACACAGTACTAGACAAGCACAGCAACAAAAAAATTCACTAAAGTGATTGTTTTAGTGAAAGCTAGTACTCAATGTAGAAAAACATGATACACATAAATATATATACTCTCTTTCACATGCAAAAAAGAGTAAAATGATATGCTAAATTTATGCTAGTAGCTTGCATTTTCACAAGATCACCGATATATTCCAAAAGTGATTGAACACATCATTATTTAAATCATTTTTCACTCATGCTAACTGCAATCCCATTTTTATAAATAATGGGATCAGATTTTTTAAAACAGCTACTCAACTCTTATGATAAACATTGTGTGGTTATTAACATAGTTATATTTGATTTTTGTCCAAAATTCACATATAATTACCTTATAAGTTTTCCATGAAACCATATTTATTTTTTTGTTTCAAATTGAGGTTTCAATTTCAATTTTTTAGGAAAAATTGAAAATTTTTTTATAACATAAATTTCATTATCATATAATCAACTCTCTGAATGCTAATAAATCTTGAGATAGTCACAAGTATATTGATTTTTTTTTTAAAATTAAAGACAATTGTGGCATCACTTAATCTAACAATTAATCTAACAACAAACAGAATTTCAAGTCAATTGAAACTAAATAATGTACTCAAAATATCTATTATTATTGATTGTAAATTATTTTGATAATTAGAATGTTTATATTTATAGTACTATCTATATTTTATCACCGGCTTGGATTACTGATATACTTAATCGCAACCCTTGAAGCTCTTAGTTTTTTATTGGTTGTTTCAAATTTGTAAATGATCGGAGATATGTCTTCAAAACTCATCAAAACCACTGACCATCTAATCTAAATGTAGAGTGAAAAATCTAGGGAGAAATTCGTATTAGTCATGAAGTTTTGAATAATGAGATGTGGAAGTTTCATCATCAGATCCACACATTTATTCTTGATTTTATCATTCAAGTTCAAAATATGATATGATATTCATGTCTTCACATGTCAATCATAAAGACATTATGATATTATATGATATAAGATGTTATTATGAATATATGTCCACAAGCAGGATCTTTTTTGATCCAATTAGTCCTTTAGTTCTCTTTGTTACCCTGGGGATACTTGATAAGGTCCAAAACACAACTTTAGAGCTTATTTGTCAACTTAACATATACCTTGCTTTTCGATATTAAGAAATTAAGGATGAACGGCTGATGTTTTTTACCTAAAGTCTCACATCACTACAACAATTATCTCACAAACGAACAAGTCAAAGTCCACATACATGGCTTATTCATACACGCATTCAACATTTCAGTAAACGGTAAGCTTGAAAGCATGAATTAGTTTGTTCCATTCATTGTTTTATCATGTGTAATCATATTGTTCAAAATCAGATAACAAGTAAAGTATACAATCTAACTAGGTAATCGTACATAAATTATATCGTTCATATATGTATATGACCTCAAGAGACGGGAGTACAAGACCTGGGCAATTTATTTCACGTGAGATATAGACTCTCTACTTTCCTATATATTATAGTCGTTTCGACTATCTCCTTGTAGACAAGGTCACAGGGTGTGTACACCTGAAGCTTCTGGAGATTACAAGTACAAAGAAACACATCTACGAAGCAAAAAATAGGTGAAGCTCCTTGAAAGTTAGCTTCTCTTGGGAGGATTCTAAACATCCAAAAAATAACTTGAAACGTTTGCTGTACCTCAATGCAAAGAATCATTGGGGACAGTTAGGGAGATGAGTGTGGGGAGAAACTACGCGTTTGTGTTCGACATGTTTGATGGGAACGATAGTGCCATTGGTTTAGCCGAAAACCCTCATGATTTCTGTCTCTTATTTTTCCCAATTTCCAAGAAAAAATGTGAAATAATTCTCCCTGCTGACGGTGAGATGTAACGGTGCTTGATGTCGCCGTCAAAATCTGGATCGGTGTAAAGTACGTACGAGTACAGTACAGACCTCTGACCCTAGTCGGGCCAGACCTTTGTCAGAACAGGTTTGATTGATGCCCCGGGTATTCTTTATTAATGATAGACGTATTGGACGACTTGGTCTCTGGTTGAAATCTCTGCTTTTTGAAAAGGACAAAATCCAACCTCTGGTCCTGTTTAGGAGGCAGCCCAGAGCCTCCGTGGACTTCAAGGAGTTAATGTTCTTGTAGAATTCTTGTAGTGAGCAGTTCTCATAAGTGACTAGCCATTAGTTGAGAACTACCTGGTTGGATTTCGCGACTTGAATCGGAATGATCAGGGACAGTACACTGTGATCAGAGCCCCCTGCCCAGTCCAAGCTTCATATGCCTCCAATTTCGGCAGCTTGTGGAAATGATGCCTGTAGGGCTTTCGATGATGCACCGGTGTACGGTTTTGAGGGTATTTTCAGAGCAGATGTTTGAGTTCTAGAGAAAAGTAGAAAAATTTGCACCCAAACTCCTAAAATTCAGGTCGTGGAACCGATACATGCAATTGGAGCTACATCGACAAGAACAACGATGAGAATGGGTGAATAATACAGCAATTATTCTTCTCTTTCTCTTTATGAAAGTTCTTGGTTGCCGACTTAATCTTTCGACCCTTCTTGGAAAGCTGGAGGGGATTTGATAGCATTCTGGTCCACGTCTTTTCAAGGAGACAATTTAGGGTTCGGGATAGGATGCGATGATACAAATTTCTGGTATCGATATATGGAAGGTAAGGAGTATAGAAGGTTGTGGAAGAAAGAGGGAAAGAGTAGGAAAAAGGCAAGAATAAAAGTGCATGGTAATTGACAACTTCTTGATCTTTTTATACTCTTTCTTCAAATTCTGGAAGACTTGAGACTCATCTTAGCGTTGAGGTGTGGATCCTGCATGAAGAAAAACCCCTACTCAAAATCATTGTGTAAGAGGAAAGATCCGGATATTCTCGCAAGGCTCAAGGTAATTTGCATGTTTGTAGACTGAAATTTCAGGCGTTGACAAAGGCATGATATGGAGTCTGGACCAGCAAGGGGAATGAAGGTTCAGTGGAAAGAAGAGGAGAGAAAGGAGAAGCTTCTATGAAGGGGTGTATCGATCAACAGCATTAATGAGGAGCGTCCTCAGGTGGCCAGGAACAGAAACATAATCCCCGTAATGAATGCAGGGATATAAACAGGCAACCGACCCAGGATATGTGAATCTTGGGATATCTTCATTGGGAACGTAAGTAAGTCTCCTAATCAATTTGCTCGTGTAGAACTGGCAGTTATGTTAGTATAAAAAGTTTCTCCTCGAGATGTGTCATTCAGGTGAGTTTCTGAGGAATAAAACATCGATGGCAAAGAAGTAAAATGAGTCAATGATGACGGGTGATTCTTGTGCATGGAAAGAAAAGCTACCCTCGGTGAAAAAATCGGGGAGATCAAATCCCCAGTTCTCTGCAAATTCTTCAATATTTGTCTTTGTTTCATGGTTTTTTATTTGCTAAGATAGCGAAGACCGACAAATCGTACTCTGACTCTGTATTCGTATTATACAGTTGGGAACATGTTACGGTCCAGCCGGTTCCCAGTGCATCATGAACATTCTACGAATGATCGCTACTTCAGTTCTGTACTTTCCTCTGAGTTGCACTTTTTGGACAAGAGAATTGCCGGGCTAAGCTACGGCTAGTTGCTGGTCTACAGTTCTGGAAAAAGAGGGAGACTTTGTTAATTGAAAATTCAAGACTCTATAGATTACAGGATTTGGTAACTCTTCCAAGTGGTTTTCAGGGTACTCGCGTTTGTATTATTGAATTTTACAAGCAAATTTTCTGTCGCATCTTACTGTTAGAATTTTCGTGAACCTTATTGGCAAAATCCCTCATGTGATATTACGAACCAAAGCAGCACACATCGGATGTAGTTGTGGGCTGTAACGTTAAGCATACTACATGTTATGTTCTCTCAGATTTTGTACCTTTCAAGAGAAAAGCTAGAATATGCACGCAGCAAAACCCTTCTAACCTACTCAGCGTTATTGAACGATTCCAGATGTTAGGGTCAAACGCAACAAACTGTCAAGCATATTTTTTCCTAATGCTTGAGACTCGCAACTCACAAGTTCATTCTCACTTGCCCATATGTGAGGATCTTTTCAAGAACTAACTTTGGCTCTGCACGACTTTTATGCCGCTTGTCAAGACTCTAGTCTTGGTTCGTATTCATGTAGTGATAGCCTCGCCTTCGAGACTCTAAGCAAATTTTTCTGCATTATAGGATGAACCAATAATGATCTTCCCACAGAGCTTGATGATAGTGGCAGTCCAGGAAACAAGAGGTGAAAGTAGCAAGGAAATATATACGGTTTTCCGGTTTTTTATAGATCCTTTTAATATTTTTATTTTAGATTAAAATGTGTCTCCGAAATATGAAAATTATGAAATGGACTTTATTTTATTTACTTTTTGACTAGCTATGAACGAATACCCTGGGTTAATCTATGTATGGATTTTAGTCTGGTCTATGGGGATAGGTATAGTGGGGCTAGGTTACGGTCTGGAGCAGAGATGTACAAAATACCTAATACTGCAAATGATAGGCGTGACATGAAGAGTACAGCGTACCGTATTCCCTCCAAGATATGGTTTCATAGAGTGTGGGAGGGGAGCTGTTAGGTGCGAGCAGACCTGGCTCCTATTCGGACATACATACGTACAATACGACCGACGACAAGTGGACCTCACCTACTACGACTACTGTACTTCACCGCCCCACGCATCACATTTTGACTGAACTTGGAAAGGCTCCAAATACAGACATCGACACCACCGCCTTCCAAAATCTAACACTTTGTTTCTTACGAGCATCCGACGAAGCCATTCAATCGTACGGTCCGCCTGCGCCGCTGCCGAGCCATATCCGGTCGCAATCTTTGACTCGGAACTTGTTCTCGCTGTTCGACGCGACGTCGGATATTGGCTCCGATTGGCGACGATGAAGTCGAGTTGGGTCGTGTGCTCGCGTCGGAGGCCAGTTGGAGTTGATGTCCGCGATGCGCTGCCATCATCGACGTACTCGAGCTCGTCCCTTCATGAGGGAAGGAGGGTCCCGGAATCAGTCGCTCGTACTCATGAGCGACGCGCTGTCTTTTGAAAACAAAAAGCACTCGATGGCTTTTTTGAAAGAAATAGATAGCCGTTCTGATCTTGCAAGCATCAGGGCTTGATGCCTTTAGTGCGCGCGTACTTGCGCTGATTGATATGTCCAGTAGAATGGACTCCTCCAGACGCCCGGACGTGGAACCATGAGGAGATTTGGTCTCAGGAATCGGATCAGGAGAATGCGCACGCCGAAAGGGAGGTAGGGCGTGGATGACATACATGTATTGAGATTGCGTGAAAGGATGAGCTATTTCTTCAAGACGCCGCAATGATCGTATACAGACGCTCGTTTGTAGTTCTTTATTTCGTTTGACCCGACGCCATTTGGCCACCGTCAACAGTGATGTGAGAAGAAGCGGAGGATATATCTCTAGATGTTGGATTATCATTCTCTGGGGGTTTCTACGACTCATCGACCAGTATGTCTTGTTTGCCTCAAGTTTCTCCAAGAAATAATTCACCTTCTCCAACATTGCCCCTCCTCCTTGCTTGATTTTCCTTCCAGCCATTCACCAACAGCCATCATCACTCCAGAATCTATCGGTTTCTGATGCGCTTGCAAACTTGCTGTCTCCTCTGCGTGAAATCACCTCTCACCATCCACCACCGCCTATTATTCGAAAAAGGCTCAATCATGTTCGGGACTGTTGTTGTCCACCATCTATTCAGCGCGGTGTTAAGTTTTCGGGCTGCTGTCTGCTGCCTTTTCCGTCCCAGAAAATATCTAGACCAACGAGCTATCATACATGCATGATCTCACCTCACGCCATCTATCACCACCAATTATTATCACAGCAAAGTTCGATCATATTCCCGAATCCGTTGTTCACCACATGTAGCCAGCGGTGTCAAGTCTGCGGATAGTAGTAATCCACTGCTGTGATATACGACCTTCCTACACGTCAAAATACTTAATTCATTCTGGTCTCAGCACACGCCATCCAGACTCAGCGAAATTCAGTTCTCCTAGACCCTTCTAAAGTTATGTCAATTCTTCGATGTATCTATGGTTCTCGAGCTGGAACTGAATCTATCACAGCTATGAGGATTCAGTCGGTGTGTAACTTGTCAGCTTTGGGCTGTAAGCTGTCCAAAGCAGTACAGTCTTGCAGATGTCTCACGTGCATGATCTTACAGCACGCCATCGTCTACCAACAATCATCAGATTATGATGGAAGATCGATAATTTTCCACTGTTCTCCATTTCTCGTCCAGTGGTGTCACATAATCGATGTGGCTTTATGCCGTCGTCGCATTCAAATAGAATATTTGCAAACAAGCTGACTAGTGTACTCGAATCACCTCGTGCCATCCACCTCCAATTAACCGTCTTTCTTCCTGTCACCTTTCATGGCGATGATGGATTTATCTGAGCCTCTGCTCCTTCTCCACTAACATCGAAAATATGAGATTCTAGAAAAAGCTGACTACCGCATATTTTCTCTTCTCTGTTTTGTGTATGCTTTTATCCTCCTACCTGCCTCACAAAAGTTCCGTCTCTTTCCCCAGCATATCAAGCCACTCTTGAACCTACGTAATATGTGTCTTGTGACTTAACCGTCATGCAAAATCGGTGAGCTCCACGCCGAATGAGTTAGTTCATTTCAGAGGCTGTTTATCTCCCGAGAATAGCCAGGGAAACACCGATTTGCGGGATGTCCACTTTTTTTGTTGAAATGATTTTAGCTGCTTGACGCGACCATCGAGCTCTTCTTAAACACTATGCTTCTAGTTTCATCTATCTCGCCTAGATATTTAACTGACCTGCAACTGTGTTTGTCACCACCCTTTCGAAATGTAGAATAGGAAATGAAGCTCAGATTGAAGCAATTATATTTTAATTATAAGCTGTTAACCCACTTCAAGGTCGCCAATTCTTTTGTCTAGAGCTTTACGAGATCAGGTACAGGCGGTTCAGTTTAAAGCCTTGAGCCAGGAAACAAGTTTTGTTTCATCTGAACAAGATGATCTGTTGCAGTACGTAATGAAACTCGATGACGCCCACTTCTCGCTTAAGAAGTACACACATACTCCGGTGAACAGGAGTTGCAGAAAAACTTCTAAGAGCGTTTCAAACGAGGGGGAGAAATCAATGACTTGTGCCTCGATCTTTACATATAGTTCTTTTCAGCTGAAGGAGACGAACGCAACCATCAGGCACATATCACACCCGAACAGAGGGTTGATTTAATAGCTGATAAAAGCAACAACATTTATGACATAAGGCCAACTCTGCTGAGTTGTAATTGCTATACAATCCTCACGTTTGAATTCGAAGGATGTTAAAACTAACGTATCGCTGAATGGTAGTTGCGTAAATTGTAGCAGACCAGCTCACTCAGGTTCGTACATATCTTCAGGTTCTGTCCAGGACCCATGGACCTAACGAAATGATGGATGTCATTGCAGAGAGACAACGCTATGTCTCTAGCAACTTACGTTTCTCTTTGTCATGCGACAGGACAGTACATTCCTTATTTTCTCTTCTCACCAAGAGATACGAGATACGCTGTATTTACACTTCCATGAATACTTCTGTTTATTGTTAGCATACCAAGAGCTATGCTCCTCTAGGAAGAAGGTGTTCTCTCTGGCTGTTCAGATATTCTTCTCATTCTGATAGATGACTCGAGTATCCAGTAATTCTCTAGTTCCGAGCCTTCCGACTCCTAGTATGTACATAGCTGAGGATCTGACTCATGAACGCGACGGACTAGTCACGAGCCGTTTCTGCAGGCTTACACCATTATTCTTGATTCTTGTGGCCACCTCTCGCACTCCACTTCACCTACAATTTCCCGTTGTAAGCACGTTTAGAAACTCTTTGCATTCATCATCCCACAATCTCTCGCAAACGGAATCTCAACCAAATAGTTATAGTGGTGCAAGAAATTTAAGATTCATGAGATGAGCTTGCGTTCAACCTTGGTCTGGGCTACTGGCACTTGCGCATTATGGCGACCCTCCTCTACTTGGAATTAAAAAAATGAAGCAAAACAACAAGACATTCTTTGGATACTTCTTCTTCTTTTGATATGATATCGAGCTTCAATGAAAAACCGCAATTCGCTCTGGAGTTTTCACGGATAATTGCTTTGTGAACGAGTTCTCTGAGAAATCTGAACATTCAGTAACATGGACTCTTCGCTTAGAGTTCTTTCAACAATTTGAGCAGATAAACGTAGTTCTGATCTAGTAATTCCACATATCAGAGTTTGGCGAATATATAACGGTCAAGTGATTGATGGACTAGGGGTAGGCACTCTTCTAAAAAAGATCCTCTTTGCCACATAACGATTCCTTCCTAAATCTGGCGAATTGCCTGTCTAGCATTCTTTCATGAGTCTGCTGAAAGGGAATTAATCAACGTTTCGGTGATCATGACTAAATGTTGGAAGCGCATGAGATTTCTCATGCAAGGTTTGTGGCTGCGCACAGGAGACACAGATGGGGTATTACTCCCAAAAATATACTGGTTGTCTGGCCGTGTGTCTCAGACTACAGGTACAAAAACGTCTGGATTTCTAAGCGCACCTGGTTTTATCCACAAAGCCAATTGATACATAGTATGGCTGTAGTTGTTCAGATTTGGAGATAAACAAAAATTCAGGTAGAATAGTGCTTCATGCGATGACAGCAGCACTCTTTTGTATGATATGTGTATGGATACTTCTTCTCTGCATGGCTTCACAAATTGCATATTACCCTTTCTTTCAGGTAAACTAAGCTTTACGTCTAGAGATTAGCAAGGTTATTTTCTCAGTTTGGCTACTTGTTACTAATTACTTTGCAGAAATCCTTTCTTTAAGTCACTATACTCGAATACATTATCATAACCACAAGGATTAGGCACGAATTTAATTTTTTTCAAAAAGAAATACTGAATATCGGTCAAATTTGCATGTTGTATGCTGCCTTTATCGTAGTTACATGTAGAAAACCAAAATTCTATCCAATGTGACTCCGACTTATAATTCTGAGTTATTATTATCATTTTGTAAAAGCAGTAATCTCATTCATACACAAGAACAATGTATAATCTACTGTATACATGACTTACATTTTGTCTTTCCGGCAATCTATTTAACAGTGTGAGCTGTTAGATAATTACCGTTCAGGATCACCACCCTGCGTACGTTGGCTTTTCGAATATGTAACACAAGCAGTCAATGTAAACAAAAATGTACTTTGTTCACCACGGGAGATTACATCCACGAGAAAAATTTAGTCTTTCCTCAAATACTCTCTAATTGTGTCACCGAAAGTTTAGATAGAATGTAGTGACATATCAAACATCACTCTGGTTTGTTTAACTAGGGTCAAAAATACCAGAGTTCAATCAAACTCTAAGTGAACTCTTTATAATCTTACTTTCAACTCATCTTTTGAATACAATATTCCATATAAGAACTCTACAAAAAATTCTGAAAGACATCTTAACGTAGATCAATTCGTAAACTAAAATTAACTAAAACTAAGCCGTTATCAAAACTTTATGGAGTAGAAATATATATAGAGTTGAAAAAAACTCCAATTTTACACTCAATACAAAATCTGCAAAATGGTACAATGTTTTCTAAATTTGTTCAAATGATTTAATTTGATCAATGCATGAGTTGGATAGAATATATTGTTAATCCTGATTAACTCAAATTTTTTTTATCAAAAATTGCATCTATGATAAAGCGACATTTTATGTTGATGTGTTCCACTTTGTAATTCATCATTTGATTTTCTGCAAGATGTAATGTATCTAAATTATCACAATAAAAATTGACAACATAAATTTTAATTCACATTTCAATGATAAATTTATTGCTAAAAATTCTACTTTCATATTTGGTTTTTGTTATTGACAAAGCTATTGACTTTACAAAATAGATTTCAGGCTTATGTATCCATCACCAAGTGTAAAGACATACCCAATTATAGATTTTTTTTAATCTAGATCTTGTACATAATTAGCATCAACGTAGGCTAACAAAGATTTGACATTTTTCAATAAATCATCAAATACAATATCATGATACTTAATATTCTTGAGAAGTTTAAATTTTCATTTCATTTCATTTTTATCTTAGATTTGACATGTACATCATCATCTTGATCGTAGCTAGAGTAATTTGCATATCATCAAATAAATGAGACTATCCATAGAAAATGGATGGCTTTTTTTTCACAATATTATCGATTGAAGATTTATGTGCAAAAAGCTTAAAATATTTTGTCCACAAAGTTGAAACTAGTTTAAATTTTATCATGTGTCAATTGTCAAGCACAAATCAAATACACAATAACCTTACAACCTACATAGTCTTTGATATTTCAATCCATTAGCTTATATCAAATAAATGTCATTTTTTTTAGATGTATGACCAATTTCATCATATTCTTTTTAGGTAGGAGGAAAAAATTATGCAACGAAATCATTTTAAACAACTATATAAGCCATAGGATTGTGTAGCAATTCAATATATGTTCAAAATTTGTCAAAATAATAAAGACATACTAAATATATTATTATATTAAGAACTTGATTTCAAAATAATTATATTATATCAAATTGATTCAGCAAACTACATCCTTTTTTTAAAAACTATTAAGTTGAAAATTTCAATCAAAATATAAATTTTGAAAATCTGACAAGATTACTTCTCTTTGCATTAACTTTTTATTTGCTTAAAAGTTTATATTTTTTCAATATCTTTACATTGATTTATTATAAGGTTAATCCGTGTCTTCTTAACCGTAGTTAGTCTATGTTAGCA